TCCCAGCAGCAAGGCGAATGGGAACGCCTTACACGGTTTTCATGATGTGGCATCGATTTTATTTTGTGTGTTTGTAGGATCATTTCATCCCACCTGCACCAGGGAGAAGAAAAAAGGGCATGGCGTTACAACATAGACGGATCTGGGTTTCTTGAACTTTGGCTCCTTTTCGACGGGAATTTTTTTTTTTTCAAAACGTTTTGTTTCCTGTCAGCTCTCACATACCTCATCTGGGCCCTCGACGTCCTACGACACGACACTCGGCGACGGCACAATATCCCCGGCGGATCCATTCCAAACTGTCGGTGAGTGCTTCGCAGGCACTTTGGTCGGGCAGCAACGCATGACAACGCAACCACCATCCTCGACGCACATGGCTCGCAGCCGCCTCAACCGTCAAATTCGAGGGTGTGAGACGACAATCTTCCTTTTACATGGGGTTTCTCGGACAAGGGCACAAAAGAAACATGCAGCTTCAAGCGCCTGTTTTCCTTTTTTTCCATCTCTATTTTCCTTTTTCATTCCTGTTTGCTTTCACCTTTTGGGCAATGCGATTCTGGGACGGGCTACAAAAAATCTGGGAACTGGACTGGGAAAAGAACTGATTCGCATATAGACTTTTGATTTTCTTTCATTTTGTTTGTACCAACTACCCCCTGTATTCTCTAGGTTTGGTCGACTTTTACGCACAACCAGCTACCTCGCGGTCCTGGTTTGAGCGAGAGCACCAAGGATATGTCAGCAACGCTTTCCTACTTTTTCATTTTCCCTTGTCAGAACAACAAGGCGATGGCGATGACGGATTTACTACCACTACATCTTTATTATTCCCCCATTTTCTTTTTTTTTTCTGCTTTCTCATGGTGTGCTCGAGACCGGAGGCTCCACGGCTAGCTGATCGTCCATATGTGGGCGATGCGGGCTTGGATGGACTCTGGGATTGACAAAAGAAGATACCCCGCGGGTTTAGCCCTCTTTAGACTGCATATGTATAGTACTGCCATCTATAAGAGCCAAGATAGCTACACAGCGCCAGCGCATAGGAAAAGGAGACATCCAAATTCGAAACAATGAAACATTTAAAAATCATATTACATCACCTCTCTCTTTTGCTTTGCATTGCACACCGATATTTGAGTTGAAGCCCTATCTGATCCTGCCTACCTAGGCGAGTGCCCAATCTGACGTGGAGACATTCCAGATCTAGCAGATGTGTGTGAGTGTGTGCAGGATGCATCTGAGACGGACAGGGGTGTTTGTTGGACGAGGGCATTCCTTAACCCCCCGTATGAGGGCGGCGGCGGTTGCTCTCGAAGCTCATGCTATGCTATGCCATGCCATGCGGCTCGACACATTCGACTCGACTCGACTCGAGAACTTCTGTGAGATGCTCGAGTAATTCAGTTCAGTTCAGGAAGAAGAGGAGAATTCGGGATAGGCGATGGACGGCGAGACATGGCAAAAAGCAAGGTAAAGGATAGGTAGCTGAGGGTTTTCCCCAATCGCAAGGGGGCTCCCCCCAACTTGGTGTGCCGTAAGGGGGCAAAGGGAGAGAGCTAGTCACCCACACAACGGGACGTCTATCCGGGAGGGAAGGGAGAGAGCGGTTCGGTTCTAGTTTGGTATAGGTAGCCACGGTAGAGTATCTAGAATACCCAAAGTAGAGGATCGGATAGTGTTATAGGGGAGGGGAATGGAGAGGGGGGAGAGCCACACAAGATCGGGGGGCCGGGGGGTTCGGATGCGGGATGCGGATGCGGGATGCGGGAGAGGGGTTCTAGGCCAAGGGGGAATGCGACGACTCTCGCCCATCCATCCTCCCATCGTCATGCTTGAGGAAAGAATTCTCACTTTGGACCTAGACACCTACCCCTCGGGTGCTCGGCCAAGACGAAGGAAGGGTCTCAGTCAAAAGTTGGTGATTCGGTCACCACCGACTGGTATCATATGCCTATATGGGCGTGACAACGAATTGGGCAAAGACGCATGAGGTAGCAGCAGCAGCAGCAGCAAGCAGCGGCATGACACATCACGGGGGCATGCGAACTACGACGACTTACATGATCGACGGGGGACGCGGACGCGCGCCGACGACACGTTGTGTGTATGTATGGTAGGTATGTATGTATGTATGTATGTATGCGCGTGCGTTGTGTTGTGCCTGCCGGCGACTCGAACAGGACGAGTCGAATGAGACTTTTGAAAGCTAAGGAGCCTGCTCCGTGACGGCTACCTCTGCTATTTTCTGCCGCCACACACCTACAACAGACTGTCTTCCTCTGGCGTGTCTGGGTACGGATACCTTGGGTACTAGTATCCCCCCCCCCCTTTTCGTCTGATCAGAGACCTTTGAGGAACGCGGAACTAGTCGAGGGAGAGAGAGGAACCGGCCGGGCGCTTATGCGCTGCAGCGTCAATCGATTTAGCGGGGGATAAACCATGGCGAGAGACAAGACGAGGATGACTTTTGATTTTTTTGAGAGGAGGAGCAGGGGAGGCAAGGGGTCATGATAGTGGTGGTGGTGTGTGATTTGTTTTTGAGCAGTCGTCTTTTCGGACTATGGCAAGCTAGGCAAAGCAAAAAAGAAAAGCAAAAAAAGAAGAAAAAGAAAAACGGGCGATGGTGGTGATACAGCCCACATTGCTTTTTTTTTTCTCTTGAGCTGTGTCGTAGATCGTGGTTTGCATGGTGGTGCGTTGCGGGCGTGTGCGCGTGCAGCCGGGGAAGACGGATCGAACATGGGTGTAATATGAACAAGGTGATGATCAATCAGATAAGTAAAAAAAAAAAAAAAAAAAAAAATATTTTTAAAAAAAATCCAGGTGAAGGATTCATTCAATATTCAAGGAAGCGATGAAAAGCAAGTTGGTTACTTGTACTGGGATGCGTGGTCTGGCGCGCAAGAGTTTGGATAAAGGGTTCGTTCGGATGGCATGGATGGTGCTGTGTAAGTTTTCTGTATGGTCTGTATGGGATGTGGCCATGTGGAAATAGTGCTGCCACTTTCTTTGCCAAGACCTTTTGCATGTTCGGATGTGACGTTGGAGTTTTTTGATTTTCCGCTTAAAAAAAAAAACAAATCCTATCTTGGGGGGGCTGGCTTTGTACTGTGTAGCCTGGGAGGTCTGGGAGACTACGACTCTCAAATGATGCCCTGTCTTTCTACGGAGTAGACTTTCTAGACTTTCCTCCGGTCTCACGCGGAAGATGGGTTTTACGAGCCGGGCTGCGTACGGGCCGGGGCGCGGGAGAGAGAACTGGGAATAGGAGCTTGAATACATTCGAGAAGAGGGGGGGTGTAGTGTATGGGCAAATCACCAATGACGCTACCATGACACTACCGTCCTCTGCGGGCATCGCTAGTTCAACATACGGATGCGACGTTGTGGAAGCACTGCCGTAGGGTTCCCCGAGATTTCGATGTGCCGAGACTGGAAGAGAGCCGCGAGAGCTGAAAAGGGTTGGGTGAGTGAATGAATGAATGGAATGGGAATTTGTTTATTGGGTACGATGTGAAAGTGCGTGCAGTAGTAGATTGGCACTTGGGACATCCGAAAAGGAGCCCCGGTGCCCAGGTGTGTGACAGCTGATAGAGGTTGCCTGGTAGCTTGGCTGTCATCATTGTCGCATCGCGTACGTCGTCCAACCAATATACTGGGAGTGTATGCGTAGGGAAGATACCGTATACGAGAGCATACACAACAACCCCGAGACGATGGTTCCCGGATGCGCTCAGTTCTGTAACGTTGAATTGGTCCGACGCTGTGTGAAGTACGTAGTATTTACGGATACATCTGTATTATTGGAAACACCATACATTATTACATTATCCTGTAGTCACGCGTGGCACGGGGAGGCGACACGTTGGGACGGGTTTACTTCAGGAACAATCGCGTTTAGAGGAGGACGAACACGCGCCTTGGCCGAAGCGCTGCGCGACGACGCGCAAATGCCAAAAGTGATAGGAAGTTCCGAAATACAGCAGCTCCGTATGATGTGGTCAACCCATTGCGCAATCAGGCAAGGTGCTAAAATTTTGGGTTTGATGAACTAAAATTACAACAAATTGTTGGAAGATGAAATAGGGGAAATTTCAGGAACAGACACACACACACACACACTTACACCACCCTGCCGTGCCGTGCCTGCCCCGGGGAACGTCAAGACCAAAGAAATGTGGAAACCCTAGAGCGAAAAGAAGAAAAAGGGGGTGGGTGGTGTGAGTTCAGGCTGTTTGGGAGCGTGTGAGAGCTGACTGCGTTTCCGTTTGTAGCTCTCTGTAAGGTATCGGCCGGGGGGCGTGTGTTCGCACGGCGCTAATGCAGCGGCGGCGTCCCGGGAACCAAAGCGCTGGGACCTTCTTTTTTTTCCTTTCTTTCCCTTTTTGCTGCTGTTCGGGAGTGGCCCGCGGTGGGCCGGAGGGAGGATGAAACGGGCCTATCATTGACCGAACTCCGCGCTATGTCCCTTTTGGGCTCCTCGGTGGGGTATCCACTTTCTTTTCGGACGAAAGAAAGCTGAGCGGTCGGTGAAGTCCAGGTGAGAGGAAAGGGACGAACGGCGCCACACACTCACACCTTGACTCGCAAGGTGAAGGAGCAGGAGGAGCCTACCTACCTGGGGAAGTACCTCAGCTCCGACCCGACGCGGAAAGAGAGGGTTGCAGAGAACATGCAGCTAAACTGCGCGACCTGCAGAAGGTGCCGACCTTTTCCGGTAGTTGCAATGCAGGGAAGGAAGGGGAAACGTTTTGTTTCTTCTTTCTTGTGAGACACTCAAAGGGGGGCTAACTGTCGATCTCCTTTTTTGGCTTTCACATCGAACAAAATTTTCAAAATTGATCTTGTTTTGACTCGAGGATTGTCTATCTGCTGGCTTCCCCTGCATCATCAATCACCAACGAGTCAACAACCCACGTCTTGCGTACAAACGCAAGATTGACAACCCGCGTTGTTTGCGCCCCTCGAGCTACTCGAAAAGGGGCATGGCATCACACCAGATGTCTCCATCGCGCTGGTTGGACGTTGGCTTTGCCGTCATTGTGACAACTGACGGGTCGGCGCAAACCAACAATCCTGTCATTCAAGTACCAACTGTATGTGCCAATAACGAGCCATCAAACAGCGTCCAACGGCCCAATGTCAATAACAACCAAAAGACATACACCCGCATATGGAGCAAACACGCCCATGCTGCGTCTGGTTTTCCACCAACGAGATAGTTCATCCCATTCCCCCAGTCTCTCATTGGCCATCTGCAAGGCGCGAGATTGAACCACTCACACACACACACCAATGACATTCGGAAGGCAAACCTCCTCTACGGATACAAAGTACACACCACCTTGTCCGTACCGGCAATTTGGCACACGAACTCGGGTTTGGTGGGCTACATTGTCATTGCTGCAGCTTTCCCCCTTCCCCGGGTTATCAAATATGGGTATCTCTACGACGTCCCGGATATGCCTCCCGGGCCAAACGGATCACTAAGGTGCTACCCGTACGGCGCGCACAAAATAGCCGTTTACCAGCTGCCGAGTCATCGACAAATTCTCCGCTTGCTTGTCTCTTCGACGCTTCTCGGCCGTAGCCGAAGAATGGCTGTGTTTGCGCTGTGCTGCGTTGCTGCGCATCCAGATCCGCCGTGGGTACTTTGTACGGAGTATGCGTAACTGATTTCCAATTTGAAGCGCATGACAATTGCATAGGAAACAAGACGAGATAGCAACGACGGCAGCCCCTCATACCCAATTCCGGACATCATGGGCCACGCCTCAGCTCACCGAGCCCTCATCATCACGCGGCAGACACACCACCACCCGACTGAGTACACGCCACATCGTGAACGAAACGGCCCAGCAAGATGAGACAGCGTGAACCACCCTTCTTTGCACCCCCTCTAACCCAGGAAGGAGAAAAGAGCCTCATCCAGTGTGCCAGTTTCCCGGCTCGGTTCGGTTTGGACATCCCACGAGTGCAACATCCCACGTCTGGCTTTGGTCTACGCCTTGCGAAACGGGGGAAAGGGCCGAGGAGGCGCAGATGAGCGGGGGGCGCATATCGATGCATGCCCTTCGGGAAATGCGACGTCTCGACCGAGTAGTCGGGTCCCCTTACGTCTCTTTCTTCTGTCTCGCCGATACTTGACTCTGCGATGTCTTTGGAGACGACTGGTTAGCGAAACCCCCACCCCGCCGCCCCCTTTGCCTTCGTCACCGAGAGGTAGGTGAGTGAGATAGGGCAGAGGTAGGTACCGTCTTGTGAAGAGGGTCAGGATATTTCGACAAGCAGAGATCATCCTTCCAACGTTTCATCCCGACTTTCTCTCCAACAACCGGTTCTGCACCGCCCAGGCCTCAAGGCTGTCCGGGACATCAACTCCCTCACCGGTGCGATATACTCCCTTCCCCGTGCCCGGCTTCCCTGCGCGTCGTCCCCAACCTCTGGAAAAATTTCTTCCCCATGCCTTCTATCCTTACAAGGGCTTGTTCTTCGAGAAGTTCCTTTTGATGGGGACGCAAGGCGTGATGATGAGGGTCCAATTCGGTGAGTGAAAGCCCTGGCCCTGTTTGATAGACCGCCTGACCACAAAGCCTGGGACTCCTTTGGGGGGGGGGGGGGACGGGGCTCCGGGAGAAGCAGAAAATCTCACGGGGAGCCAAGACGAGTGGCAAGGTTCTGCATATCTCAAACTACCAAATTTCCCGGGGCCGCGGTTTGGGATCCTTTTTCTGGTTTGCTCACTTCTTCCCAGGTTCAAGGAAGCCGATCAGAGAGGCTCCGCCGACAAAAGGTCCCCGCAACAAACGTACAGCCGTTGCCAAAAGCCGCCATTTCTCTCGCCTCTCTTCTCTCTCCCCACCAAGCCATGCGGACACTGTAGCCGGGGCATGGCCCCCGGATCCCCGGAGGCATTATTTGAAAGGCCCCAAGGGCTGTCGACAGGGGAGGAAAATGGAAGAAGCAAAGAAGGAGGAAGAAGGTCCCTCTTTTTCCTTCTTCACTCAACACACACCCTCAAACCGGCATCGGATCCCTGACCAAGTCTTTATCCAGTGGGAAACATTGCCGTCAGTGTGCTCCGTCTCCACCGGTATCCATCTTGCATGGATCACGCATGGATACCCATGGAGGGAATGGCACGGTGACTTGGACGAACCCAACGGAGCAACGTACTGAGGTACCTACGCCGTACGGATACGCCCTGACGCCCTCCCAAGTTTCCTCCCTTCCCCCCCCCCCCCCCCGGGCAGCTGAGGATAACTGAAGCAGGCGGATCTCGTTTCCTGCCTTTCTTAATTTTACCACGTTATTTCGAATTTCAGATTTTCCTTCTAGCGCGTCCCTCTTTTTCCTTCTTCACCTTCTCTCTCGCTCTCGTGGGGCCGACACAGTAACCCTTGCTAACGTCCAATGGGCCCAAATCGCGTGTCCGGGCAAAATTAACCCAAATCACGGGTCCAGCTCCGGCGCGAGGAGAATGCTCATTGCTCACTTTCACAGTCTACCCATCACCCCTGAGTTTCTTGACCGAAACTCCCCATGCGCAGTAGTTACGACACGAGCAAAGCCAGGCCTGGATCAGCAGTGCAGCACCAGGAAATGGGGAGCGGGCAGGCACACCGACAGACACACCAACCCCCAGTCCCAAAACCGTTGGGTCTTCTCTTGTTCCTTGGCTCTAGTGTGTATCCGTACGCTACTCATAGGCAATCCGGAGTACGCTACCCGGACGGGGCTCTCGCCCCCATCGCCGAGGAGTTAAATGCTACAAAAATGCAAAGGGCTGGGACGGATCCAACTCAAGCCGCCGACGGCTCGTCCTTCCCCTTCTTCCCCCGGTGAGCTAAGGGTATTGGCAATGTGGGCAAACCCCGCTGGAAAGGCCGAGAGTCCAGAATACCACAGTACCGACCGTAGTGTACGGATACTCTGTACTCTCTGTACAGATACAGGGAAACACAATTCATCCTGGGATGTTGACTCACCGGGTCACCGGGGAACATGGGCGTTTGGATTTTTGGGAAATTGGGCCTTTCGGTCTGCTAACTGCCGGTGGCATGCAACCGATCCTCCCAGCCCGTCAAGGGACCCGGTCTAGCCTCTGCCGTAGGTTGGCTGTTTCGCTGGAACCGGGGCCCATATCGATTCAGAACATCATATCTCTCAAGGGAGATTGTTGTCTCGGTGAGGGTCTCACCGGGGTGGGTTTGTCATTCTCTCTCTTTCTTCTCATCTTTCTACCCTGCGAAACACGGGCCCTGTCTTGCTTGTGGAGGTTAAGGTAACCTTTGCGGTCTCTCGTGCCAAAGTGCGTACGGATACTCCCATACAGCCCAGGACCTCTTTTTTGAATTTTTCTATACACTAATCTCTATTGATCATTTCGACCAGCGGCGCCCCCAATCTATGGAACATTGCGGCTACCCTTCTAGAATATCCACAGACGCGCCGAGTGGTTGGGACGCTCATCCCTGCAGCATTCCTTTCCCACAAAGAGCCTCAAGCCCTCAAGGACCTGCACTGCGGTGTTACCGACAGTCAGGGACTCAGGGCTCGTCTCGACTCGCCCGTACCGGTCACCCGTGCTTCTTCTTCTCTCCCTCCCGCCTCTCCCCGGCGGCGAGGCTTGCTAGACTCCCCCTCCCTTCTCCCGAGACCCGCGGCCCTCTCCATACCGGTCTGTACTGCAATACCTTTATCCGTACTGCGTACTCCGTATGTACGGAGTACGAGTAACTCTACGGATACACCTGCGATCCCAGCTTTGACCCTGCTTTCCGGGAATGTGACAGCTCACACGCCCACCCTCAAGGAGGACCTTCAGAATTCAGGGTACACATCGCTGCTCTCAGGTCATCAGCTAAACCATCCCGCTGGTACACGATGGGAGAGGGGCCCGGCATCCTAGGTGACGGGGGGGAACGGGAATGCTCATTGCCCAGAGAGAAAAAATGACAGCACCTCCAGGGGAGGGGTTAGGGGGAAGGGGCGTGTCATTCACATGGAGAAAACTTTGAGCCTCAAGTGGGCGTGTAAGAGATGGAGGTCGGTGTGAGTAAGAAGGAGGCGAGGGGGAAAAAAAAGATGACGAGAAAGAGAGAGAAAGGAAAGGATAGGGAAGAAACACAACTCACGTCCGTCTAGCCAACGGCATACCCTCCCTGACTTTAGCCCACTCGTCCAAATCCACATCGACAAAGCCAATGGCCCCCTCGGCGCCCTCCTCGGCCCTGCCATCGGCGTCCACGCCGCCCAGCTCCAGCTTGACCCGGCCCCAGGGATCGACGACCATGCTGTGGCCGTAGCTGCTCCGCTTCGGATTGTGCGCGCCCACCTGCGCCGCGGCGACGACCCAGCTCTGCGTCTCGATGGCGCGGGCCCGGAGAAGGGTCTCCCAGTGCGCCTGGCCCGTCCGGATGGTGAAGGCGGAAGGGTAGAGGAGGATCTGGGCGGGGCCGTGGCCGCCGTTGTTGTCAGGGAGGAAGGGGCTCTTGGGTCCCGGATGCGTCAGGGCGAGGGCCGGTTCGGGGAAGCGGAGGTCGAAACAGATGAGGCTGCCGGCGCGGCCGACCGGGGTGGGGAATGGGGCCGTGAGTGAGGGGCCGGCTTGGACTGTTGCGCTTTCTCGGAGGGCGCCGTAGTCGAAGAGGTGGAGCTTATCGTAGGTTGCGGCTTGGAATATGGTGCCGTCTGCGTTGATCCAGAGGCTACGGTTGAGGAGCTTTGGAGTGGTAGTGATGGCGTCTACGGCTACGGCCGGCTTCTGGGCGTCTGTTGTGGGGACGTGGATGCCGACGTTCACGGCGACGGAGTGGGTCTTTGCTGCTTCCTGGAGGCCGAGGACGAAGGGGGACTGGGACTGCGGTTGAGCTAGGGAGAGGGATTCTTGCGGGCTTGAGGCGATGTAATCTGCGGCTTCGGGGAGGAAGAGGACCTAGGAAGAATACAGTGAGCGGCGCCTGTTGGTGTTGGTGGTGTTGCTGGGGGGGTGGGCAGGAGGCAGACATGAAGCCATTTTTGTGCTTCAGGCTGCATTTGCATTGCAGGTCTCATGTGCAGCAGGATGGGATTGCGGTGAGAGAGGAAAGGAACAAGACGAGTGTTTTGATATCGACGCCCCCTTTGTTACGGACAGATGGGACGTACTTTGGCACCACCGACAGCGGCCTTGGCGACGAGCCTCACGCACTGCTCTAGGTTGTGGGACAGAGAGGCCGTGGAACAGATTTGACCGACAGCCTGTTCACGCCGAAAGGAAGAGGGGACCGCATCAGTAAGTCATCTGCAGAGACACGTGGTCTTTTTTTTTGGGGGGGGGGGTGTTGGGCAGCCATACCGCGATCGCCATATTGTTGAAGATACGGTGAGATGGAACTTTTTGGGGGAGGGATATGTTTGGATTTGGATGAGAAACTTATGCAATGTAGGCGCGGGAACCCTGGGTAGGGGTTGGTCGTGTGGACTGATCTTGGAGAGAGGGAGGGAGAAAGTATGCTGGCCACGTGGCAGAGCAGATGAAGCCGTTCGGATGATTTTCGTGAGGACTGTAGGGTGTGAAAGGTTGGCGATCTTTCATGCAAGCTATAATAGTTTCTTGGATGGGTTGGACGTCGGACGGGAGTGGGAGAGGAGGCATCATTCGTTGCGTTGACGGGTGGGCCTGCTACCGCTTACCTTATCTGATGGTGGGATGCAGCGGGGTAAGGTAAGGCAAGGATGCTGCAATATTCAAGATATCTCTCGTCATTTTTACGTTTGTTGATCTGATACACTCTTCGCTGTTGATTCGACATTGGTGGAGAGACACTTTCGAAAACATACCTTTTCTTTTGTACGAGGACCATGAACTCTTCGAATAATGATTTCCATTTTCTTTAAACACTTCGAAACGCTCTGCGAGGCATGCATATATGCTTCTGTTGCTTGAGGTAGTTGAGAAAGACTGGACCCAGACATACCTTTCGCGACACCGATTAGTCATGAGAACTGAAATAAAATATCTAGCTGGTGGAATGGTTTCATAATGTGAGAATGAGTTCTCAAGTGAGTTCTCAGAGTTCTCAAGACTTATGAGCTCACCGAAAGCCAGTGAGAATCCACATGTGAGCTATAGCCAATAGGCGTGAGGACGTTTGGTCACCTCACTACCTGCATGTACCCTTTTAGCCCACCATCTTATCGTATCATTCTTCTAACTGAATTTTTCGCGGGGCAACAGCACCAGATCGCGGGGCAAATTCAACGAGACTCACTTACTCACGGTACGACAGACAACCCTGTACTAAAAGTAGCCTGCGTCTTGTCTGATGATTTTTGGCTTCATATGAGAGCCCCCTTTCACAAAAACATCAAATTTGCTGTAAAGCGGACCCCTACTTGAAGTGCAAGCCGAAGCGGAATAAGTGTCTCAGCCATGGAGGAAGATCGGGCGCAAACCGACTTGGGCATCGCCGCCGATATTGAAGAGGCTCATCGCCAGGAGGAGGCTGCGGCTCAGCCAGTCTTGAAGCAACCAAAGAAGCGCTTCGTCGGAAGGAGAACAGCAGCCGAGACTGCGGCCAAGAATGGAGGCCCCAACGGGTCCATCGAGGACAGCAAGTCCATCCAAGGTGAGCACGCACGACGCCTTATATGAGAAGCAACAGCATAATCATTCTCATTCTCACCTCTCATAGTCGCACAACCTAGAAGAGGTCCGCGTCTCCTGAACCAAGTACCCCCTGAGATTCTCAATGATCCGGCACTCAAGTCCGCCATCTCTATCCTCCCCTCCAACTACAGCTTCGAGATTCCCAAAACCATCCATCGCATCCGCTCCTCGGGCGCCAAGAAGGTCGCTCTGCAGATGCCCGAGGGTCTCCTCCTCTTCGCCACCACCATCTCCGACATCCTCACCGAGTTCTGCCCCGGCATTGAGACCCTCATCATGGGCGACGTCACCTACGGCGCCTGCTGCATCGACGACTACACCGCCCGCGCCATGGGCTGCGACCTCCTCGTCCACTACGCCCACAGCTGCCTCATCCCCGTCGACGTGACAAAGATCAAGACCCTCTACGTCTTTGTCGACATCAGCATCGACACCTCCCACCTCTTAGCCTCGCTCGAGCGCAACTTCGCCTCGGGCAAGACCGTCGCCGTCGTCGGCACCATCCAGTTCAACGCCACCATCCACGGCGTGCGCGGCACCCTCGAAAAGGCCGGCTTCAAGGTCCTTGTCCCGCAGATCGCGCCCCTGAGCAAGGGCGAGATCCTCGGCTGCACGAGCCCGCAGCTCCACGACGACGACAAGGTCGACATGATCCTCTACCTCGGCGACGGCCGCTTCCATCTCGAGAGCATCATGATCCACAACCCAACCATCCCGGCCTACCGCTACGACCCGTACTCGCGCAAGCTGACGCGCGAGACGTACGGCCACGACGAGATGCAGGACCTGCGCCGGACGGCCATCCGGACGGCCAAGACGGCCAAGAAGTGGGGTCTCATCCTGGGCTCGCTCGGCCGCCAGGGGAACCCGCACACCATGGGCCTCATCGAGAAGCGGCTCAAGGACCGCGGTATCCCATGGGTGAACTTGCTGCTCAGCGAGATCTTCCCGGGCAAGCTAGCCATGATGAGCGACGTCGAGTGCTGGGTGCAGGTCGCGTGCCCGCGGTTGAGCATCGATTGGGGCTACGCTTTCCCGCGGCCGCTGTTGACGCCGTACGAGGCCTTGGTTGCGCTAGAGGTGCGCGATGACTGGGGTAAAGGGGTGTATCCCATGGACTACTACGGAAAGGATGGTCTGGGACGCGTGAAGCCTGGCCAGCTTGAGGCATCGGCATAACCATCTTCAGGGGGAAGGGTGAGGAGGAAGACTAAAACGAGAACAAAAGTTTATGGTTTATATAGGAGCACGTAATGATACCTCTTTCGATGTAATCTGGAAACTGTCCCAGACACGACTAAGCACTCGATATTTCTTTGCTTTCCTGCCGTTGGAACAAGGAAATCCTTCAAATCACTGCTACAGGCTTGGTAGCTCAAATTCAACTAACCCGGACTCCCTTATAAATGTACCTTGCCCATTCGGAAAGGTGTTATTCGCCGGAAATTTAAGAGAGGTCGTGTCTATCTAAGCCTGCATATTGATGGGTATTTGAGGTATTATACATGTGTAAACGCACTCGAGGACTAGAGCCGCCAAAGTTTGCGGTTCGCTTTCTTGTTGTCCCAGGTCCTTCGAGTCTCACCCTTTATTCAGTCGAAAGAACTGAATCTACTCCGTACATCTCAATCAAATAAAAAATCGTCCCCAAACAAGTTTATTGGCTGTCTCGCCTGGGATCACCTCTTGGTAAAAATCGAGACGTTGAAAGAAGATCACAAAGAGGATTGATGACCATTTCAAAATTTCTGAGACCTGCTGCATCTAGTTAATTCACTCATTCGCGTTGCAGCCGGTACATTTGGCAGCTGATTCTACGCTAAATACCTCGCTACGCCGCCTGCATGCGGTGCTGGTAAGGGCATCTTAACCGTGTCCTTTGTCCACCTCCTTTCGAGAACACGAGTCTTCAGCGGTAGGGCTGAAGTTGCCAACCAAATGCGTACTTCCTACAAAGATTCAGATTATTTCGTTGGTCGATCATTCTTGGCGAACGATACCCTCCCTATATCCAAACCTGGTCAGAAATCTTGCCACTCAGAATTCATTACTGTGCCCCAAAAGTTCCAGGGGTGACATCGTTGGCGAGTTCGTACTTATCCCTGGAAGTCCCACACCAGCACTCTTCTCCTTCACCTTATTTGCGATAAGGTGAGACCGGAGCGCCAGCACTCTCCAGGATACCACCGCGCCCTTCCGAATAGGGCCATTTGCACCGTTTACGTTTGTGCGCAACGTCGCCAAGAACAGGCATGTCTTGTATGCGTTCTGCTGATTGGCTCATTCTTGTCGACTGGTTCGCGGAACTTTCTGTTAGAACTACTACATTGGCATTGCTTAGCCTCAACCTTCAGCTCCCGACTCACGTCAAACAGCTCGCTGCCTAAGTCAAATGAGGGGAAGGAACTAGAAGAGGAACACATCTCGTTTTCAATCGGCTTCTGTCGTCGAGGAGCGAGATCGCGCACGTCGTCTTCTCTTTTCCGCACATCATAGGATGGCCCGCAAAGGCAGTCGCAAGACAAGGACCGGCTGTATTACCTGCAAGTAGGCACCCCGCATAGATTCATACCCCCCCTCCATGCGGCAAGGTTTGCATTCCTTATTAACAATCACCACCACCGGAGCAGGGTCCGAAAAGTCAAGTGTGACGAGGCCAAGCCAGAGTGTATACGGTGCTCCAGCACCGGCCGTACATGCGATGGCTACGTGGACCCGGCCCAAGCCGCCGAATTAGATCAGCCCCGGCTGCTCAGGGCCCAGAGCATGTTCCCGAGCATCACCAGACAGGAGAGCAGGGCGCTGCATTTCTTTTGTGAAATTGTTGGGCCGAACTTGCCCGGCGCCACCGACCCTTACTTCTGGACGCATCTCGTCATTCAATTCAGCCGGTACGAGCCCGCGGTGAGGCATTCCATCTTCGCCATCAGCTCGCTGTACGAGGGCGTCACCGGGGCTCAGGGTAGCCCCTTTGACGTGGGGAGCGAGCAGATCCAGGATAACGCCCTCGCCTTGCGTCACTACAACGCCGCAATTAACCAATTGACCGTCATGGAGAACCAGGGGCTGGTGCTGCTGGTTTGTCTCCTCTTCATTTGTATAGAATTCCTGCAGTCCAACCGGGAGACTGCCCTCCGTCACTGCGCTCACGGCACTGCCATACTCGCCAGCTCCGACTCTACCTCGTACAAGTGGGTGAGGCAATACCTCACGCCATTGTTTCGAAGATTGAGCGCGTTGCCCTTCTTCTTCGGGAGCGGACCATCGGATATGCTCGATCTGAGCATTTCGAGATGCCCAATACCGGACTTTTTCAATACGTTCTCCGAAGCCGAAGCCATGATTGACGACGTTTTCAACCAATCCTTGCAAACTATCCGCCGCGGTGACACATATCGCGTAGGACAAAGGAAAGATGTTCCAGTACCATCAGAACTCCTAGAAGAACAGGACACAGTCTTAAACCAACTAAATAAGTGGTACGGCATGTTCAAAGACCTCGAAGCCATACGGGGGCAAACGACATCCAAAATCTCGGGATTCGCGCGCGCATTCGCTCTAGCGAGATATCGGATCTGTCTGATCTGGTTGAACAACGCCTTCATACGTTCCGAGATGGGCTACGATGACTTCCTCGACGAGTTCCGCAAAGTCGTCGAGGAGACAGCGCAAGCCGCCGCCGAACAAAACAGCACAGGAATTAAAACGACCCCCGCCTTCGAAATGGGCTTTATCGCGCCGCTCTTCTTCTGCGCACAGCGGTGTAGGGACCTGGGTTGCCGACTAGAGGCCCTGCGTCTTCTCAAACTTCTCGCCGCGCCGCGAGAGAACTTGTGGGATAGGGACGGCATGTGTGCTCTGGCTCGGAGAATCATCGAAATAGAACACGGGGTGGAATTGAATATGGACGGTCGGGTTACGCCAGGGGTACATCCTAAATATCCGGGCCTACCACCGGAGACGACGAGGATACAACAATTCAACGTTGAATTTGTGAGTGGACGACAAAAGAACTTTAACGGCCACGAAGTACGCGGCTTCAAGGCTCAATTATATATGCGGAGTGCGAGCGGTGAAATCCATCTTCGGCCCGAGACCTTATTTGAAGAGAACCCTCAACTGTCTGACGATGTGAGCCAAGAGCATATAGGGGCAGTCCTTTTCCCATAGCCCGCGAAGGTGTTACATGAACAAACTAAATAAGAAACATGAAAAACAAACTTGTGCCCCTGCCCAAGAGCTCTCTGACACAATGATAAGAGTAGCTGGCACTTAAGAGTACGGAGCTGGATCTGTTAGCTTGTTGTTGATGTAAGACTAAGGCGATCGGAGCCAGTTGACCCTGGCGGGTGATTGAAATGTCCGCAAAGTGTGGGCTGAATTAATTGCATCGCGGTTGTCGTATCGAAATTACCATATCGAGTTGAGTGCGTGCCTGGGGCACATTGCGTGTGCCGCATGGTTCGAAAGTACACCGCATCGTGTAGTTTCTCTCGAAAACCTGACCCCTTTGAGGTCGATCTTTTGCGCCTGTAAAGCCGGGGAAAAGCCACCACATGAACTGAATTAAGATGTTTTCTTATTGGATATTGTCCACATCAGATTAAACACTGCATTCTGATTTCTCAAAGCCGATAAGGCTTGTCATTATGGCGGAGTTAGCTATTGCTGATGCCAAGAACGCTATGCTAATCGCGTACCCAACCGACTCTTGCCTTCATTGCTTTGCTCCCGCTAAGCTTTCGACAATAAGGCTTGTTACAAAGCTCACCCGACACCCCTTCGCCTATATAACTAACTAAAACAGCTTCTTGCTCTTGCCAGACCCCAAGGACCGCCTCCTTCTACAGGGAGCCGCAGTCGTGTTCTTCAATGCCTCGAGAACGCCATCATAGGCCGGGTGCTTGCTGAAGTCCTCGAACCAGAGAAGGGCAGCACCTTCACCCGGGAAGACGGCGGGAACCCAGCTGAAGGGGTCGTAGAAATCCCAGATCGTGATGCCAATGCAAGCCGCTACTTGAAGACAGGCACTGGTAGACTACAGCCGAATTACTTAGCGTCTTGAATGCATCCGAAGATGGGGTGGGTGACTGGGTAAACCTACGTTCTTATACGCCTCCTTTTGCCACGCCAGGTTTGTCTCATTTACCGGGAGCTCGACACGGACATCCAGCTCTGTGAGGGCAACCTCGACTCCGAGCTCGGCGTAGCTGCGAATGACCTCGACTTGCTGGTCCAGGCTAGGCGCCCTATCAGCTACGAGGTGAGCTTGCATGCCAATGCCGTCAACCTTGATGCCGTCGTCCTGGAGCAGCTTCACGATGCGCTTGGCGCCCTCGCTTTTGGGACCGACCGACTCGAGGTTGTAGTCGTTGTAGTACAGCTTCGCCGCCGGATCGACCTCGGCCGCGGTGCGGAAGGCCAACTTAAGGTACTCCTCGCCGAGAACGTTGTAGAAAACGGACTCGCGATATGTGCCGTCCTCGTTAAGAGCCTCATTGACGACGTCCCAGGCGTAGCACTTGCCTTTGTAGTGGCCAGCAACCTCGTGGATGTGTCTGACAATCACCTCGGTGAGCTCTTCGGGCGTCCATGTTGTATTCTCAACCCAGGGGGCGAGCTGGCTGTGCCAGACAAGGGCGTGGCAACGGAGGATCTGGCCGTTCTCTTCGGCGATGGAGGTCACGATATCGCCCTCTGTGAAGTTGAAAACACCCGGCGAGGGCTCGGTGAAAAGCCACTATGTGAGACGTTAACTTGAATCCTTTACTAACAAGCTGTTATTTCAACACCAACCTTTTGCCCATTTGTCGGGGTTGTTTGGCCAAACTCGTTGATATCCTCGAGGATGGCGTCGTACTGCTCGTAGGATGCCTCCAGCCCAGCGCGCTCGCGCTGTCCTGGGGAGTCAGTTGCAGCACCAAAGTACAACAAGCCTGCTTTCTTCGCGTAGTAGTCAAGCTGAGCCGAGGCTAGGGGCAAGGACGCCGCCAGGAGGGGAACGGTGAGTGATTGGATGTGCATCTTGACCGTCTGGTAACAATGAAACTTGGGCGAGAAACGAGAGGACCTATCTTGGAAGACCGAGGCCGGCGTGGACGAAGGTGAGGTCAATAGGACCACTCCATAACGAGGGCGACGCAATTCATATATGCAAGATCCAGCCCCCGATGCGATTCCGTTTCCCCATGATTACCCCAATTTTCCAGGCGAACGGACGAGAGCAATCTCCAGATCATCCAATGCAACAGTGCCGAGCTACTAAGCTAGCAAGGACTGCCGCCGTGGGGTGACGTCCTCTAAGGGATAGGAACCCGGCTTGACCATGTACCGGCGCCTTGGTCCCAAGACCTGCAAGCCTAGGTGACACAGCGTTGGTTGGAAGAGAGAAGGGCTTCGGGATTCAAAGGTCAAGTCCCGTGATGTGGGTACCGGGACAAGTGCGCTGGAAGAGGAGCTCATTCCGGTGAGAACCAAAGACGCGGTGGTCACGGTTGGATAGAACCAATGGTGCTCTCAATTAGCGGCTTTCAGGGATCGTCCCTGGCATGACCTTCCCCATCTTTTGCTGGGGCAGAATGGGGAACCGTTCAATCAGGCTGTCTGCGGTTAAATTAGAGTTGGATTGTGAGCATTTATCCTAATAGCCTCCTCGGGTAGTCTCCAGAGTCCCCTCACGGCCGGTGCGGAGGCGTGGAGAATCCCTGACTGTCAGAACAACCTCGACCTCTACGAATATTGTCGAGGCCGCTATTATGTCCATTGATTTGGCCGAGCATTCGGCGAGAGCCGAGGCTATCCATGACACTTGTTGAAGAAGGCGATGGTGCCAGACTGGGATGAGGTTGCTTGGAACGCATGTTTGTTAGAAATTGAACTGGTCATCGATATGAAGAAAGCTCATCAACAGTGACGAAGACAATGGGCATAGTAACACTAGCGTTGATACCCACTTCAGTCAGCCTGGTTTGTATGACCCGCGGAGTCCCTCATAATTGAACTCAAACCAGAGTAAAGTTGACAGGGCGACTAAGCCTGCTGCGCAATGCTTCCGGAAGCGAATATCGAGACCAATAAAATCATGCCTTGGAATAAATTGTCTGTTTGCCGACGCGTGGTTGGAGGTGTTTGTTGCGACGGGCCGTCGCCTCACAACCTCGCGGCAGCGAATTACATTCTGTTCGGTTGTTCGTCTCATTCCAAAATCCTTCATCGCCTCATTGCTTGATGACACAGGGACTTTTGACTATGCGATTCTGAAGGAGAGATGCCTAAATGCAAGTAGGGTCTCATTCTTCCGACTAAATTGCGATCAGAGCGATCCGTGTTGACTTGCATCTCTAAAGGAGACCAACAAGCACGCAACCCAATGAATGAGATGGGTAACGGCCAAGAAATTCGCAGACTGGTAGACCAAGCGCCAGTTACCTGTTGTGGCTTATCCAACAAGCAAACAACTGGTGCTGATTATGAGAATAACTACCATGAAGCACCGCCAACCAAGGTACTTAGGCAGAATAAGTCGACACGTTCGAATCATTGATGCTACTTGAGCCAACGTGACTTATTCAAACAACCAGTGATAAATGCGGCACTCGAATGATGTTGCTCAGAAAGATGCAATTGCCGAAGATCCGGGGAAGCTGATGCGTGTCTCATTCGTCGCTTTGACCGCAGCCTACCAATGCCTCGAACCGCAGCGGTATGATTTGTGAGCCGTAGTTGTCATTCTGTCGCAAAGACATACGAGCTTATGAGATGCGTCCCTGATGATCACGCTAACCAAGATGTAGCGGGGATGAATGTGAGGTTGGCAACCTTTGCTGAGAGCTTCATGAGCCAAAGGTGATCTGCCACAGACAGATCAAGGTGGCATACCAGTCTTACGTTTGATGACCGGCTATGATGGCACCGGAGCCGCCGCAATGAACAAGCGTCACGGAAATATAGACGGCAAGGGATCTGCCGTGCCAGTCATAGTTCTCCTGGTCCGGTATCGTAGCAACACGACAGGATGAACGCCGCAACCGCTATCGTCCTTGGCAACAATTGCCCTCTCACCACATCATGACTAGCCTCGTCGGTGTGGGTGTCATTCTTCAAAGATCGCTCCGGTGGCCTCGAACCGTCGATAACGAAGACGTCTCTTATGTGTTTTCCGTACCAACGGGCTCTGGTCGGTTCCCAAACATGATCTTGTACTTGACGATCTCAGCAATCTCGAGCTCCTCCTCAGCCTCTCCTTCACCGCCAGTAGTGGCACCTCCCCTCCGCCGGATAATAGCCATGGCCTTCGGAAGCTTCTTAACTTCGCCCTGTAGTCTCTGATGCTGGCCGACATAGAGGAAGACGCGCTTCATCCAGGCCGTGCTGCCCTCTTCCTGCGTTTCGGGGTGATAGTCAGGGAATGTTACTTTGCCAATGGAAATCTCAGGCTCCTTTTTGCTGGATTCCTCGTCGGGATTGAAATGAGGCACGTTGACAGTTCCTTGCATCTCAAGCAGCGCAAATCCAGAGGGTGTCTTGATGAGTGGGGGCAATGGGCTTTCTGAAGCTGAGGAGCCCTTCTTAGGAGGATAGATTTTGACCGATGACATTGTCGAGAGTAGATGTCGTGTGTTGATTTAGTTGGCGATATAAATGATACACAGCCGTAATTGGGAGATTGCCTGAGTGACAGCAACGACGTTTGTTCGTGATATACGGATGTCTTGATCGCGAATCGTGAAGCGCGACACTACAACAGTGTGGAATCGTCCATCTGAACCTGCCCGGAAAACGGAGGCTGTGGTGGGGGTACGTATCCCGGCCCGCGTACCTTCCTAAACAGGATAGACACGTGACACGGGGCTGTCTAAGCACGGCCCATGGAAAAACTTACCGAAAGAACTTCCTGCGGCCTGTGATTGGCCTAGGGATTTTTTTTGCAGCAGGGCTCTAGCGACGCACACATTCTCGAAAATTCAAGAGTAACTTTCCGCTTTTCCTCCTTCCCACTGAACAATCCACGCCCAACGCCCAGCCGCAGTCGACAACACTTGCACCACCCAACGCCGGCAAGATGAAGGTACGATAACACCATATCCCGACAGACGAGAGCGATACAATCGAACGCGATGGAATTGCCATATCAACGACGTCGAGTTCGAAATCGCTGGCGGTCTGATCACCGCGCCGAATATTTGGAAATATTCGGAGGGGGTGGAATTGTCACGTTCAAGGTTGCTGACCATTTTTCTTGACCACAGTTGAACATCTCCTACCCTGCCAATGGCAGCCAGAAGCTCATCGACATTGAGGATGAGCGCAAGCTCCGCGTCTTCATGGAGAAGCGCATGGGCGCTGAGGTCCCCGGTGACTCCGTCGGCGACGAGTTCAAGGGCTACATCTTCCGCATCACCGGAGGCAACGACAAGCAGGGTTTCCCGATGAAGCAGGGTGTCATGCACCCTACCCGTGTCCGCCTCCTCCTCTCTGAGGGACACTCCTGCTACCGCCCCCGCCGCACCGGTGAGCGCAAGCGCAAGTCCGTCCGCGGCTGCATCGTCGGCATGGACCTCTCCGTCCTTGCCCTCTCCATCGTCAAGCAGGGCGAGGCCGACATCCCCGGCCTCACCGACGTCGTCCACCCCAAGCGCCTCGGTCCCAAGCGTGCCACCAAGATCCGCAAGTTCTTCAGCCTCACCAAGGATGACGATGTATGTGTGCTCCCTGTTGCGGTCCACCCTTCCAACAGCCACTTCGTCATCGCCTACCTGGTTCTGCGGCGGAGGGTCGAGCGGACCAGGTAGAGTGTGAGAGACGGGACCGTGTTTCCCCTCTGCCTTCGAACTACTTCTTTCATCAGACGATATCTGTTGAATGCCTTGAGAAAGTGCGCCAGATATATCAGAAAACGAGAGAGGGAGAGAGAAGGAAGAGGTGGGAGCATGTGTCGGGCTTTAATCCCAATGCTATACACATCACAGATACCCTTTGCAAGTGGCTAATGAGGCATTCTTTGCTGCAACTTATAGGTCCGCAAGTACGTCATCCGCCGCGAGGTCCAGCCCAAGGGCGAGGGCAAGAAGCCTTACACCAAGGCTCCCAAGATCCAGAGACTCGTCACCCCCCAGCGTCTCCAGCACAAGCGCCACCGCATTGCCCTCAAGCGTCGCCAGTCCGAGAAGGTCAAGGACGAGGCCGTACGTTTGCCCATTATACATGTTATCTTGATGCTTCAAGTCATACTAACCCCCTATCCAGAACGAATACGCCCAGGTCCTTGCCAAGCGTGTTGCCGAGCGCAAGACCGAGAAGGCCGAGCTCCGCAAGCGCCGTGCCTCTTCCATGCGCAAGTAAACTTGTCGTCATGGCGGCGGTGTTGCGTTGGGAATCATGAAAAAAGTGAAAGATTACTCGGGTCTTCTGGTTTTCTTGCATTGGCGTGGAAAAAGGGAAATGGGGCACTGGGAACTCATGTCATGAAACAAGTTTTCAGTCAACATCATGAATGTAATAGGGCATTCAAAAATGGAAATGCACATCCTTTTGACACGCGAAATACCACCAGCAATTGTTTTATGATGTTAAACAAGATTGATACCTTACTTGCTCGTGCCATATGTCCACCTACCAATCAGCCTATCGTTACTCTTATGTTCATTATCCATCTCCGGAAGACACTATTGGAGTATCTATGAGCCTCTTAAGAAATCTCAGCCCTGCCCCGCACAAGATTCTGGGGTTGGACTGTCTAGATTTTCGTTCTCTTCCGGAGCGGGGGCTGTCAACGTTTGGTCTAGAGCTGGTATCAAGGCAGACCCACCGGACCCTGTGAATCTTTTGCGCCGCCAAATGACCGCAGAACCAAGGTATGTCACGCCTCATGTATGGAAAATTAGCGACATCACATGTACACGTAAGCGTTTTCGTAGAGAATCCATTTCGTTCTTTTATTTTAAATCTGCCGGTAAAGCCGAACTTTTCTCTAAAAGCAGGTCTTCCTGCCGGATTGAAAAAGGAAACCCGCAAAATGCCCGTTTGTACCGTACGCCCACCCCAATTTGGAAAAGGAAACCCCTCCCCCAATATGCCATGTGAAAATCCTCGAGGCTATTGCTGCTGCTGCTAGAATTGCTACTGAAACTCTTAAACCCTTCATCACGGAACCCCTCTCTAGACGGGAACGTGGTTGAAGAGGTAGCTGACGCTCTCGCCGTTGTGGGTGCGGCGGATGGCCTCGCCGAGGACCTGGCTGATGTCGATGACGCGCAGCTTGGGGCAGCGCTCAATCTTGTCGCCGAGGGGCACCGTGTTGGTGACGACGACGCGGGACAGGCAGCTCTTGTTGAGCGTCTCGACGGCATTACCGCTGAGGACGCCATGGGTAACGATAGCGATGACTGTTTTTTTTTTCGTTCACTGTCAGTGCATGGCTCTTCACGTTATGGATACTAAAGACGACGTACCTTCACGCGCACCGCCGGTCTCGAGAGTCTCCGCAGCCCTGTGGCGACTGTTAGTGGTGCCAAAACATCATGTCACGAGGATTATACGAACTTGGCGAGGGTGCCGCAAGTGTCAGCCATGTCGTCGACCAGAATAGCAATCTTGTCAGTGACGTCTCCGACGAGAATCATGCGGCCGACAACGTTGGGGCGCGGGCGCTCCTTGTGGATGAGGGCGAAGCCGGTCTCCAGGCGATCGGCAATACCGGTGGCACGCTTGGCGCCGCCCGCGTCGGGACTGACGATGACGCAGTCCTCGACGTTCATGTTCTGTCTGATCCACTGAAGGACACTCGGCTCGGCGTACAGGTTGTCGACGGGGATGTTGAAGAATCCTTGGATCTGCGAGGCGTGAAGGTCCATCGTGATGACGTGGTTCTATGTTTGCGCCCATGAGGTCAGCTCAAGATGCTCTCTCCCTCTGTGCTTCGTCTCTCTTTCCTTCCCCCTCAAGAATTTCGGAGAACTTACGCAGCCGGAAACCTGCAGCATGTTCGCGACAAGCTTGGCGCTAATCGGAGCACGACTCTTGTCCTTCTTGTCCTGTCTAGCGTAAGGGAAGCAAGCTGTGTGTGTATCTCCAGTCAGCGAGCGTCCTTTCCCAACAATGCGACATCCCTATTGATCGTTCGGAGGGCAGACTGACGGATGACGGCGGTGATTCGGCGGGCAGACGCGGTTCTGCAAGCGTGGATCATGATGAGAAGCTCCATGAGCCCGTCGTTGATGTTGCCGGGCTCGCTGGACTGGACGATGAAGACATCTTCGTCGCGGACGCTCTCGCCAACGGTGACACAGTAGAGAAGTCAGCTTTACATGCCACTCAACGACCGGAGCCTGCCGAGGTTCGAGGGATTGTTCGCTAACCTCGTCTCTTGGTTGGAGTAGTTCAAGCTGTAAAGGCGCAAAAAAGCGGTCAATTAGATTTGTTCTCCAAAGAATGTCGCGCCTGCGCCGGAAGGGCACCAGGTCTGGAATAGAGGCAAAAGCTTACCTCATGGTCTTCGCAAGGGGAATGCCCAGTCTGCAATATTCACGACCCTACATCAGCGACCGCTTCTGCTTGCTTCGTTCCTCTATACCACGGAGGATTCATACCGCTGAGCGACCTTCTCGGACAATTCCCCATGGCTGCTGCCCTTGAGGAGCTTGATGTCGTTTGTCATATCCCCCATGAGACCGGTCGATGTGTGACGACAAGGGGAGAAAAAGGGAAAGAAGGATTTCGAGGAGGGGCAATCGGCCGACTATAAAAGAGTTGCTGCTGTTGCTGCGGCACCTTGCTGAGGTTTGGCAGGCTAAGGTACTGTCGGATCTGTCTGGACGAATCGAATCGCAGCGCGGGGTCACGATGGAGGGGTATGGCTATCAGTCGGTCGGTGTGGCGGTGTCACACACACACTATGGTCGAGGTCGATTGGGGAGGCCTTTCTGGTGGTGATATGCGGTTGAGTGAGACAGCGGGATTGCCTTTTACGTGGGGTTGCAAGAGCAAAGAGTATGTGAACAGCTTTTACCGTGAGTAATGGCCGGGTCGGGTCTATCGTGTGCCTGTCCACTTGAGTATTCGCACCGGCTGGGATCGGAGTAGACTGCTTGGGAAAAAAAGTACGAAAAAAAAACTTAGTGCTTTGTCGGCAGTGTTCCGCAATCCCTGAGAGGTCAATATTATGTGGGGAAAGGCATGGATCCGTCTTCGGCTCTTGCTTTACTGGCAGACCTTGGCCTCTCAAAGCCTCTGGGTTAGCTGCCTACCTTGCCTGATCCATTGGCGAATGCGATTAGCCAACATGCATACCCAAAGAAGAATGCTTCCTTCTACTATGTAACGACCAGAGCACCTTTTGAGTTAGACTCAGCCATTTTGACGATAGAATTCAAATTGGATCGAGGATCGGACTATCACCGATAATGGCTGCGATGCATGACCCGGATGCATCAGTTTCGTGCTGTCTATGGTTCAATCTATAGAATATTTCTATTTTGGCCCACAGCCTGAAACCCAAGAATAAGTCACGGAACCAACACAGAGTGTTTATTTGGACTTTCCCCTTAACATTCGTGTGTTCATAATCATCTGACGAGCTTCGAATTGGATACTCTACATACTGGACCTCCATACCATCATCAGCCAGCTGAAGTTCCAAGCGGCCTGCACTCCGCAAAGAACCAACCGACGATTCGTAATATGAAGGCCTCAAAATCGAAAGAGGATAACGCAAGCAGACCTGACCTGGTACTTCCTAAGCCAAGGCCGAGAGAGTCGCCATAAGTATGTACATGTGGTTCGGCATTTATTCACAATGCCCTCCCACTCAAAAATCACGCCCGTCTCCCCCATTCCAATGTCCTGTGTCGCCTACCATCCATAATGCAAATGCTGACGTGACCGCAAAACTGTCTATGTTTGCTCGCTCCCTTCTTATGCAAAGCCGAAGTAGTCGCTTCCTGCTGTGATGGCCTTCATGAGTTGTTGACGAAGCATTTCGTAGTTCTCGTATTCAGGGAGATCAAGTTCTGTGACAATTGGTTAGTGGATGCATTTCAAACTTGGTTCCAAGGGATAACGTACGGTTGAAGCATGTGTGCGAGCTGGGAAGGCGCTCCTTGTTGCCATAGTCTCGATGGATGTTGAAGCGGTTGATACCATTCATACCCTCCAGCTCCTTGAATCCATTGAGAGGCACCTTACTGGTTCCAGTCACGAACTGCAGCAGCTTGGCGCGCTCCTCCTTGTCGAATGAACGGATCGCTCGCCAGAACCATTGGATCTGCGGTGATGACGGAGTGTAATTGTGGTATTCCGTGTTGCTCTTCCAGTCGTCAACGTCAATGTCGGGCAAGCCGGAGATGAGAAGTTCCAACTCCTGCTCGTTGAAAATGGAGATGAGATCCGCGGGAATGATATCATGGAATCCTAGTACAATAGTTAGCAAAATGTCTTCTTTTTCCAGTCTTGCTTGGGTAATCAGACTTACCCTTCAAGAAGTGTTCCATCTGTTCCTTAACAGATGACAGCAGCTTGTGCTCCACCACCAATCTCACGTAGTCATGCTTGTTCTCCTCGGTGACGGCGATGTCACGACCGCCGGGGCAAAGGTCAACAGTACGAGTCACGCCAAACTCATCATCCTCCACCGAGAACGTCTCTGTGATGATGTCCGTGATGTCATTATCGAGCATCCACACCAAAGACTTGTAGTAATCCGGATCGAAAGATTCCATGTCCTTGACGGATACCGACTTGCCGAGAATACGCTTGTACACAGCGCGGCTGAAGTAACAGTCGAGAACCCGACCCTCATACAAGGCCTTTCCGATGATGCGACCAATGAACTTGAAGAACATGAGATGCTCGTCATTAATGCCACTCAACTTGTTGGGGTGGAATGTGGTACGGTCAGAGGAGACCGGAATGAAGAGTGCATAGTTGGCATCGAACATTTGCCTGGACAAGACCTGGAACCACTCGCGGGTTACACCTCCGGCGTCGACACCCTCCTCATTGTGGAAGCGAATGTTGAGCTTGCCATACTTCATCTCGTCGCCGGTCTTGAAGTAAAGCGACTTGAAGGAGTCGTGGAAGACATGCTCGCGACGTACTGAGAGCTGCAACGCAGGGAACGACGGCCGTTGATTGTTACTGGAACGGCTGTGCACACTACGGTTGAAGTAATTGCGCTTGTTGTCGAACTCGAGAACCTTCGGATTCTTGACCAGAAGCGAAAATGTTCCGGACATGAGCTTCGGACTGTTGCGGACTAGCTCATTGAGGATGCGACGGTGGTCCTCGGTGAAGGTGAAGAAGAGGCCGGCCATGCGATTCTCCGGGGGCGGGCTTGATAGCAGCATCTCCTTGCTTGTCTGGTTCTGAGTCTGTGAGTCGTCGTTCATAGCGGTATTCTTGCAGACGACCATGAGCGATTCTATCAGTGGCAGAAGGATCGTTGCTACGTTAACCATGTTCTCCCGCTCACGGATAGCGCTGAGACAGGCGCTCAGTTTCTCCCACATCATGGAGAAGGTCGAGTTATGGTACAGTGAAGTAACGAGATCCTGCTTTTCGTTGATGCTGGTCTCGGCATCTTCATCTGCCTTGTCACTCTTCTTCTTGTTGTCGAATAGGTGATCGAGCGCCGTGAGAACACGGAGGAGCTTGTTCTGCTCAGAAGCACCGGGAGAAAACTTGGCAAGCGCAACACCTTGAATCTCGGTTCCCGACGTAGCCTTCTCAATATGAGGGAGCAGCTCATCGAGATCCGCGACAATGTTCTCACTCAAGACACGAGCTTGGCGGACCAGTTCCTGTCCGAATGTTGCCTTGGCGCCTGGAATAGCAGACAAGTTCTTGATAGCTGAGATGGTGTTTTGGAACGTCTTGGAGCTACATTCCCGAGCAACAAAGATCTTAACCACAAGAGTAAGATTGTGCGGCGGAATGATCGGAACCTGCATTTGGCGAGGCGCTTTCTGGGTTGTCGACTTGTCGGTGGTTTTCGCATTTTCGGCACTTTCACCCTTGGGCTCCTGGACTTCCACGTCGGCGGCAGTCTCGACGATTGCGTTCTCAGCAGGTTGGGCGGCTGAGGCCGAAGCGGGATTGGCTTCCGCTGCACTTTCCGCTGCCTTCTTCTTGGCCTCCCGAGCAGCCTTCTCTAGAGCTTCCCGACGGCGTCGCTCCATCGTAGCCAATGGTACCGTAATCTTATTCAGTAAATCGGCGAGGTAGGCCATAACCACCGAGCTCTCCATCACCAAATCTCTGTCGAGAAGAGTGAGGAGTGAGTTGATTGCATACTTGTGGGCCTTGGAGTCCTTGGCCTTGGCCTTGCGGCTGAGTGTACGCTTGAGGGAAGATCCAACCGCCTCATGCTCTGTCAGGAAGAGCATGGGGATGTGAGGGTTCTTGGTGGAGAGATCTTGCAGCAGATCCAAGCACTGGTGGACGACCATGAGTGGTGATATCTCCGAGTTGGACTGCTGATGCACAGCAGCGCTCAGCGACGTCAGAGTCCGCTTAAGGTTCTGAGGGGTCTTGGGGTCTGCGTCCTTATCCTTAGACTTCTTGGCCTTCACAGAGAGTTGGCTGAAGCTGCGCTCAACAGCTTCCATGTCTGTGCTTCCTTCTTGTAGAATCAAGAGAATGGTGCTGATTACTTCGAGGCGATTTTGACGGTTTTCGCAGACATCGGCCAGAACACTGAAGAGGTAGTTGCGGATAGAGCCGATCTGGGAAATGAACATGAGCCGAAGCAGAGTAGCAACTCCTGGCTTGTCCAGCATCTGCACAACTGTCCGCCGCTGTACCTTGTTCTCATTGGCTTCTCCCGATTCGACAGGTGGAGCACCTGGTCGTCGAGCAACGACAGGAGGGCTTCTGCCTGTGACAGCAGGGTGAGCGCTGTGTTGCTGGGCAAGCAGACGGGCCTGAGCGGCCATTTCAGGAGGCAAGTGGTCCATTATGTCCTCTCCTTGATCCATGAGAACTTGCTGTCGCAATTCAGGAGGGAATGTCAAGAGGATGCTTGCCGGGTCCATGTCCACTGCGATCTGGTCTTGGCCCGCGGTTGTCGCCTGGCGGCGCTGCTCATCTCTCTCTCGCCGGCGCGCATCCTGACGTTCTTGTTGAACGATTTCTAGTCGCAGATCCTCCGGGAGAGCGTCGAGGAACTCTTGGAAGACTTCACCCTGTTCGCCAGTGGCAGCCTCCTCTCGAGCTTGAGATCTCCTGGTGCTGACCGTTTGTGCGATGACTTCTTCTCTGAATTCCTCTGGTAGAGCCGCCAAATAATCAGGGTCAATACCGAGTTCAGTGACGTCGACTTCCTCTCCACGGATAGTTGTCATGACGCGACTAGCGTCGTCT